ATAAATAAAATCTTAGCGGGTAAAACCAAAAAGAAATCTGAAGATATTCAATTGCATAAAGCCAAACAGCAATGACTAGACATAGACATTAAATACATATTTATAAATACATAAAAGCAAAATGTGAGTATGCCTTCTCCACTTAATATGTGAAGACAGCATATCTTTCCTTAAAAGCTGTAAATTTCTGGAGTCTAAATTCAAATTATTTGGCAAGTGGGTTGGAAACCCCAGGTACACATGTCAGGGGCTAGGGCACCAGCCTACCCTGGCACACTGTCAGGCCAACTGCTGGACTGCTGCTTGGCATAGCTACAGATCTCTCCTATAGGCAGCTCGTGTTCCAGGCTCCTGGCTGGGCCTTGCCATTTGTCCTGTACCGTTCTGGGCAGGTAGGCAGTCAAAAAGGCACAAGTAGGGATGGTTGAGCAATGAGGGGCTGCTGTGACCACAGCTGGTGCCAACAGCCTGGCACACAACCCACATTTCCCCCTTCCTCCTCATTTGACACTGTAACCAAAGGTTGCGGGTACCTGAAATATATTGTATACAGATCTTAGTAAAGTTTGCTTATCCTGTTATTGACATTTTTTTTTCCAATTTAAATGTATTTATCCTTGTACTATAGAGAAAATGAAATATTCCCATCATCCATTTTCCCCAAGAACAGTAGTGTACATTCTAATAAGCACACTTTTAAGACACATAAAGGGGCTTCTAAATGCAAGAAAAGAGAAACAAGTGCAGAACAAAGAAAAATATTTGCTATAAACAGCAGTTGACTATCTTATTCTGCATTTCTGAGCAAGGCAAAGGGGTTTTGAAGGTTGAGTTTATGGAACAACACTCACACACACACACATACACACACATATTCTTTACTCCCTTTTTTACTTGCTGAGAACATTCATTCAGAGTAAACAAAGCAATTTTAAATTCAGATAATAGAGAAACCCTAAATGTACACAAAATAAACATATTCTGCTCTTTTGCTCCTTCAAGAGCTGAGGTTCACCCCAATTTTTCTTCTCCCTCTAACCTCATTTACATTCCCATTTGAGGGAGCCAGTGACCTAATTCTGCTCAGTTCTAATGCCACACGGGTGCAAATGCAGAATATCTCTGTGCTGGCCTTGCCGGATTGGAGAACCCCAAAGTTGTTATCCTCTTCCAGTGGTAATCCTGTGATCAGCTCTAACACCACTCGCCAGCCCTTCTATCAGCTTGTTGGAGAGGCATCTTTACCTCCTGTCAAGCAGTGACCTAAAAAGTTTAATCTGGTTTACAATTTCAAGGTCAAAGTGAGTAGAATGCTATCTATTTTGGGCTAAAAGAAAAATAAAATTGATTGCTCTAAGTCTTAGATATCTTTTCCCCCCCCGTCCCATCCCATGTCCTTTTGATCCCTCTTGATACATTAAAAACTCACATGAACCTTGTGGTCTTTTCTACATTATGTCAAACTTTCAACTCTTATCCTCAACACAGATGCCCACTCTGCACAATTTTTTATGTTGGATAATCAGCAAAGCAAAGCTTTCCAAGTTCCCAGCCTAACAAGCAACAAGGCTCCAAACTGGAAATTCATTGACATTCCCCAAACAACTGACATTATTCAATGATCAAAATAAAATGCGTACATAAAATTATGGCCTATTTGTATACCTCATTCTTCCCCCTCTTCAGAAAAAGCCAGCTATTTTTAACCTATGACTGTGACATGCATTTGTTTTTAATAATGTCTCCGCTTTATATAACCATATATTCAAGGTTTTTATCATTCAAGGTACGTTGAGGCTGTGCATTTAATCTTTAGCATGGTTGTAGACGATATGATTCACAGAGAAGAGAATAGATAAAAATAAGCATGCAGCAGTATGGTGCCGAATCATCAGAACTCACCATCTTATCAACAAATGGAAGTCATTCTTTATTTCTCAAGCAAAGCAGTTTCATAGAAGATAAATAGCTTTCAGTCAGAATAGCCTAACATGCAATATGCATCTTTTTGACATGTATATTCTAATACTACTTTAGATTGTGAGATTAAAATAAGAAAAATCTCAGGATTGTGTGTTGACAACATACAATGGTCAAATCTGCATTTTTTTCCATTTTTCATCTCTCAGAATCTGGCTCTGTGTGTTTATGTGTGTATGTTACTGGCTATTATTAAGTGATCAACTTCTAGTGACCTTCAAGTACAATTTTCTAAAGTTTTATAAGGGGAATAATTTGAGGGATTTGTCCTTTTTTAATATCAAGCACTGAAAGTCACTTCATGCTTTTGAGGTATTATGTTTTGTTTCAGAGACAAGGGCATAGTAGAAAGTGTTTCTAATAGATTTAGGAGACTGGGTTCTAGATATATGACCTTGGGAGAGCCACAAAGACACTCTGGTTTTAGTTCCCCCATCTTACAAAGGAAGAATTTCAGTCAAATGGTTTATAAAATCACATTCAGCTCTAATAGGATATGATCTATAAAGCATTATTCTTTTCTTACTATCGAAAGTGTATGGGTGATGAGGGAGGTGGAATGAAGAGACTAAGTGGACACAAGCATTTGGCGCTGGATCAGTGGGTCCCTGCTGGCCACTGGTTTATGGCTGAAAGGCCTGCTGGCAGAGGAGGCTCTCGGGCCCTTTCTACCTTGCTACAAGGCACTCACAATAGCCTACACTTTTCAGGGAGTCATGGTGCTGCATTTGCTTTTAAATATTAACTTCCATTTTTTGAGATGGAAAACTGAAGTGCAGCCCTTAAAAAAATTGGCAAAGTGCAGAAAACTTCAATTTTCAAATATGCATTTTGTTCCCATATTGACCAGTTTTCACATGTAGAAGAAAGAACTAGCAGACTGCCTTTGATTAAAACCCCGGCTCTGCTACTTATCTAGCTGTTTGACCTCTTTGCAATTCACCCCTGAAATATGTCCTCATCTGTAAAACGGGCAAAGTTGGCTTGCTGGCTTTGGACACATCATTAAGAAGGACTAATCACTAGAAAAGGACATCATGTTTGGTAAAGTAGAGGGTCCGTGAAAAGAAGGGAAACTCTCAAAGAGATGGATTGACACAATAGCCACAACCATGGACTCAAACATAGCAACAATCATGAAGATGGTACAGAACCAGGCAGTTATATATATATTCCTTCAGTTATATATAAGGTCGCCATGAGTCAGAGCCTACACAATGGCAACTAACAACAACAACATGGTGTTATAGAAGAAAAGCAATTATTTCTAAGTGTTCAAAATATGTTCACTCTTCTCTGTCCCTCTACTTCAATCTCAAATTACTTAGGAGAGAATTGGCAATGATGCTGAACATTATCCGCTAAGGATCTACAAGAAATCCACGGAATCTATTTCTTGGCTAAGTACTATATAGTGGGGAGCCATGTCTTAAAATGACAAGATGTGAAAGAAACTGCCTCAAATACCTGGAAAATATTGCTACATCAGTTTACACTGATCAATTTTATTTTGGCTTGTACAGTTGGGTAAATTGGCTACTTTCTCAAGTTTGACCTTTGTCTGCCTCTGTGATTCCATCTTCCTCTCTTTTCATCTGCTAGCCTCCACAACTTCAAAGAACACCTTTAAAAACCTAGGCATAAGGGTGAAATCAGTTCTACTGGTGTAAATTATTCATGTATGTGAAGGTTCTTTGAAAAGCATAAAGTTCTGTGCAAATGTAAGACAGCAAGTAAGAATAAAGTAAGGAACAGTTTCTTAAAAATGCGTGTTACTCCCCACTAGATAAAGGCCAGTGTATAATATATTCTTTGCAACTATGCCCACTTTATAGAATGTAAGAGAGAGGGTATAGGAAAATCCATGAATGGGCAGGCAGGAATCCTAGGTCCTAAATAAGCTTTCCTCTTTACTCCCCATCTGTGCTGTACTTGTATTAGGAAGATAGCACAGTATCACAAAAACTGGATTGGAATCCAAGCTCTAGAATTCACTAAGTGTGTGAGCTTGTACAAGTTACTTATCTTCTAGATTTTTCATCACAAAAATGGGGACAGTAATATCTGTCTCACAGGGCCGTGGTGAACATTGATGGAGACAATAAATATAAAGTGCTTGGCTCAAAGTTTCATCCATAAAACATGTTCAGAAAAGGTAGTTACTGATTGTTATTACTACTTACTAGTACTACTTTTGAAAGAGGTTAGATTCTGATGATCTAAATTCTTTTTCCGCTTTAAAATGAGCCCCTCCGTATTTTATTTTATTTTTCACATAAAATACTTTTTGCAGAATTTGGTGCCTCTTGAGCTGAGGGTTTGGGAGCCTGATCAGATTTAGTAAGAAGGGTGTTCTGGACGTGCCATTGTAAAAATAAAAGCCATTCTATCTTTACAAACCCAGTTGGCGTAGCCAGTATTCTGCCACCAGAGAATCTGCACGTATTATTACATCTTCAGTTTATACTTACAAATACAGAGAACCATCTCAGATAATAAAAGTGAGAGCTGAATATTTTTGCAAGCTATTCTAACATATTGAAAGAATACTAGAAACATATAGAAGATTTGACTATATGGTAATGAAATGAATTTTCCTGTGCGGAGTGAAGGCTCATTAGCTTAGAGTCATGCTCTGTGTCGTTTTACAGAAGCCATGTATGACATTTCTCACTAATGGCTCATGCTGTCACTAAATATTTGTCTCTAACTCCCTCAGTCCTTGGGAATGCAAGTATCCACTTGCATGTAAGTTAATATCTCTGCAGAGTTGAAATGAGGTACACAGGAAAAGTCCTTTGATTTCCTAAGAGTGCAATAAGGAGAAAAGGTTCCTCTTCCTAGTTATAGATTTGGCCAGAGTTAGTGTTTCAAAATTGATATGAAAATGCTTATTTTTTGGGAAATAATGCTTCATATAATTCTCAGTAAATAAAACTAGGGCTGTGTTTTTAAAGATATTACTATTTGCTTTCAACTGCGACTATCAGCTAAGAAGACAAGTAGGTGCACACACTTACTTTCTTCATCAAGGAGATTTTCAGCAGCTGATAGTAACCTCATCCTGTCTTCTGGGTTTTCAATTTTTAATTCAATGAGATGACTCTCTTTTATATCCTTTAAATCTTCTATGGTCTCATAACCATTGAGCAAGAGTGTTGAGATATATTCCTGTTGATGAAAAAAAAATATGTATAATATAATCTAGTTGGAGTCAAGTATTTTAGTTTCAGTTTTCTTTAGATGTAGAGAAAGTTTACAAATGTGTATGAAAACAAAAGCACCAACAGAATTTTTGATTAACTGTATTTTATTTATACTATTTTTTGACACAAGAACTCTAAGGCATTTTAGAAAAGGTATGTTATAGGATTCTTAACCTTCTGAAGGAGAAATATGAAGAAGAAATACTTACCTTTTACTATACAGTGCTAAATGATGGATCAATTAAATGGCTGCACCATTCATCCCATTTGTCACATTTTCACTTCTCAACTAGCTAAAGTGACAGAGCTACTTATTTTTAAGTCTATCAATAAAAGCCTCTAACAATAAAGTATATTATAGCAATATTTCTGAATCTATATCTCATCTCATTAACTTGACTGTAAAAACATCTGTTCTCATTAATATCTTGGGGTATGTTTAAAAATGATTTTGAAGTAGACACAATTCTACATAAAAATTATTTTAAGCATTTTGGTTGAAAGACATTATACAAACCTAAGTAATCTCAGACTGTCTATTTAATTAAAAGCTTTTATTAAGCACAAAAGCACTATGGTTGGGAAAAGTATCGTTTTCTTTTCTGATCATGTATATTTTGGTCATAATTACATCAATGTACATTTGTTTAAAATTCATAGGCTTTGGATTTCAAAGTCTGCATATTGTTTATTTAACCTCTGTTCTCTCTAACAGGATAAAAATGTAAAGTTGAACGCTTTTTCAGCTTCCCCAAAAATTCCTCCCACTTTACTTGATCACAATTTCAATATCCTTATTTTTGTTGCTAAAATTAGATAAGAGGAAGTCTAAAAGTTTTAAGTAATCAGGAAGAACTTATTACCAGACCCCCATTGATTTTTTTTCACTAAAAATAACAACAACAAAAACAGAAGACATGTAGTGATTCTTTTAAAAAATAATGTATTCTCGAAGGAGCACTGACTTGAAAGAAAGAAAACCAAAATTCCCATTTATAAACATTTAATTATGGGTTGTTGGATAAGTCACTTAACTTCCTTCAACCTTGGTTTTATTACAGGTCACAGATTAAGTAGCAGAGGCAGGATTCAAATCTGTACTGCCACTAAGGAATACCTCATTTGGGGAGTACCAATAGTAAGACTAGAAGGCTTAGACAGTGTCTACAGGTAGAAACGTAACTAGATAATTCAGAAAAACAATTAAAGTTTAATTGGCTTGATGAATTTTGAAAACTCTCAAAGTACTGCTGAATTAATTTTGGAAATGGATTGGGAAATAGTAAATTAAGTGAGACTAAGTATATTGCATGTACACACCATTTAACAAGGTAGATATTTTCACAAAAATTTTGCGAATATAACACGGAAGAAATAGTTATATTATAAATGTAAACACCACAGTTTCCTTATCACAATAATTTTGGGTCCTATGATCACTACTTTCCAACAAATTATTTTTAAAACTATTATATTTAGTTATTTCCTCTCACTTTATTTTGATCTTTGCTCTATAGAAAATGCAATTTCTCTTCTTTTTTCCTCCTTTCACTTTACTGGACTTTTATCTTTACTCTTCATGCTCTTTTTATCGTTCACATTTACACATTTTCTTTGGGCCTTTTATTCTCCTAGGTGTTTTTCATTTTTCACTGCACTTTTTTCAACAGTAATCTCTACTATCACTGCTAAGAACCATTAGGGTTTGGTCCAAAGGATGTTATATCAAGACCTGTCCTTGCATAATAAAGTAATAAAGGGGAAACAAGAACGGTTCTTGGAAAACTGATTTTTCCTTTGCTGTAAGTCTTGTATTTTTTAACAACACTATACAAATACTGAATTAAATGAGAAACACAAACCTTAATTCAAATTATGTAATTGAAGCAATCTGTAGAAATGTTTTTTGTTATAAGTTAGAATTTTCATAATTCCATAATAATTGTGAAATTAAAAAAAATTGTAAAGGCAATAATAGTGGTACTTAGAGTTTGTCATGGTGACTGGAGCTAAGCTATAAACTCCAATTCAATTCAAAAATTGCTCATAGATGCCGTCTCCTAAATCCTGCCATCCTCAAGCAACTCAACTGAACAGACCATAGGTTTGCTTACCTGAAGGTGAATCCTTTCTAAGAACTCCTGCAGAGTGTTTGATTTTTCCCTCTTACCACTTCGATGTGACTTTATTTTCTTGGGGACAACTTCCTCTTCTGAGATGACATCCACATAAACAAATTTGAAATTTCCCACCTTGTTGTTCAACATTCCTGTCCACATTCCCATTGGTGCTTTGCAGATAATGTCTATAATGTCTCCTTTCTGAAGGAAAAGGAACATCCAAATCAGATTTCAGACAACCCTGGTGCTTTGACAATTGTTAGAATTTCTATGATTCCATTCATAGAAAGCAGCCCTGGTGGTACAGTGGTTAAGAACTTGGATGCTAACCAAAAGGTCAGCAGTTCGAATCCACCAGCCATTCCTTGGAAACGCTATGGGTTCTACGCTGTCCTATAGGGTTGCTATGAGTTGGAATTGACTTGACAGCAACAGATTTATTCATAGAAAATTGGAATAATGAGGGGATTATACTAAAGGATGTCAGGGTTAAAAAAATGAAACTAAGAAGAAACATCCTTTGGAAGTAATTTACTAGTAATAATGAAGAAGAATTCAACATGCTTGAAGAAAAGCTCCTAAATGTATTTGATCACACATTTATGTTTGTGTCATCATATCAACTTATCAACTTATATTTGCAGAGCACAAGGTAATTTAGAAAGCAATTTTGCATATACTAGTTCATTTTATGCTTACAACAAATCTCTGATATATATGAGGTATCATCATTATTATTTTAAATATTACAATAAAAGAAACAAGAACATTAAATGACATCCCGAGAACTTACAGGAAGTTAATGGAAGAACCAAAACTCAAGACCAAGTCTTCTAAATACAAACATGATGCTTTTTCACCCACACTTTCTAAACAATATATATGTAGCAAAGCTCAAGACATCATTCCTTAAAGGGCTTCCCAACTGAGAAAGGGGAAGAGAGAGAAATCTATCACTCTGTTCGTGCTTCTAGTTGATCTGAAAAATTAATCTATAGTATAAAATAAAACCATCTGAAGTGTTTCTTTCATAAGAAATAATGAAATTGTTTAGAACTCACCAAATGTGTCAGAAAAGCATGTGTGCACCAATTATGCTACTTGGTTCTTATTCTAGAGAAGATAATATTTAGGTTGAGCTCTGCAACCAAGTTTGAGTTGAAGTATGAATGAAGCACATTGGGATGAACAAGTGGGATTGGTCTTTTTCTTTATTCATGTTAAGGACTCTAATTGGCTAATAACTGCTGGATATTGGCAAGAGTAGAAAACCACATGGGGGCAGTTCTTTGTAAAGAAAATTGATTCCTATGCAAATACTCCTTTGAGTCTTATAACTTGCTGCCTCCAGAGATGACATTACAGAGTGCAATATTTTTGGCACTGCTAAGGGACTGCTTTCAAACAAACAAAGCAATATGTTTGCTACTAAAAGTATATTTTTTGCTGCTGCTCCATGAATGTGTGTTCTTCAATCTAAAATACAAATTTTATTTGTAATATTAGAATTCAGTGTGATTGAAAGATCTGGTCTTTCTAATTTATGATCATCTGCCTCTCCGGCCCTATGAGCTTTTAGTCGGGGTCTTCCTGCCTTAAATTGTAAGGAATCAAATCTTAGGCTAGATAGCTTCAGCTAAGCAGATGGGGAAAATCCCCCAAAAGCTCTGGGCATGGCATCCCTTTGCTGCATCTTTCCTATTATCCTTTAAGCTCATAAAAAGTGCATATTCTAGGAAGGCAGACAGGTCATCAAGCAAAAATGAAGACCGAATTTTATTTTGGATAAGATCCTTGATAGAAACAATAGTTTCAATCCTCACTGGTGACTGCAGGATTCTTAGTGTGTCTGATAAAACCAGTAACCACTTGCCGTGGAATAAATTCCAACTCATAGCAAGTAAATTCCAACTCATAGCAACAGTCAACGTAGAACTGTGCTGGAGCACACAGGGTTTTCAATGGCTGATTTTTCAGAAGTATATCACCAGGCCTTTCTTCTGAGGTACTTCTAGGTAGACTGCCCCCCCTCTTTTGGTAAGAAGCCAAGCACATTAACTGCACCACCTAGCAACTCCTATAAAAAAGTTCCACAAATATCACCTTAGGCAGGACAGTGGTAGTGCACTTGCATGGTATTGTAGGGAAGGTGACAGGCTAACCTGAGTCAAAATGTGTTCAGTACTTTTTACTGCCCCCACCCACTCCGTGATGATTACAAGGCTATGATAACACTTTCCCCAGGACTTGAACTTAGACTTCAAATCATTTCATATAAACAATTAAGGAGCTAACTGAAGGGAACAATTTTGTAATTCTCCCAGCTGAGCTTACTCTGATTTGATAGCATATTAGGGCGAAAGGGAAGAGTTGCATGCCTTGAATGTTAAGTAATTAAAATATCCATAACTTATTATAGTTGTTAGTTAATGTTGGTTAACTAATTTCATAATTTCTGTCTTTTAAGTATAGTGCATTGTGATACTAAATGGAAAAAATTAACATCTACAATATATTTCTTCTATTGGTACTACTGTAACCAGCCAATCACAATCATTTCAAGTTGCAACTCCTGAATGAAATTCTTTGATGTGCTGATACTTTCGTGGCTTAGACTGTATAAATGAATGAACATTTTAAGCCTGCTTTAAGAGTCCAGGGAGCCCTGGTAGCACAGTGGTTAAGAGATTGGCTGCTAACCAAAAAGGTCAGCCACCAGCTGCTCCTTGGAAACCCTATGGGACGGTTCTACTCTGTCCTATAGGGTCACTATGGCTCGGAATCAACTCGACGGTGACGCGTTTTAAGGGTCCAAAGACTGTATAATTGCAGTGCATTAAATAACTAGAGTGTGTAAAGGTGCAGGGCATAACTAGCACTCTGTAGAGATGAAGGAAAGTCTGATTCCCATTAATGGGTTTCTGTGATTTTACTTTAAAAACCATGAGCATATATCCTCCTGTGCAGAGGAGTGGCAGAAAAGCACAAATATTTCTGAAGCTCCTCCATGACTGTCTCTTCTCTGCTCAAACGTTTGCCCTGCTGAGGACTTAGAAAATTTGGGTGGTGACAAATGGTCCAATATTTCCAAAAGAAAGGATGACTCAGGCTTGAGATTAAGTAAATTTACTAAAAGAAGCCCACATGAACCACATATGTGCCTGGCCATTCCAGCAGGCCTTTAGTGGGAACAGTGCAGCTACTTCTATATAGTGCTGAGTTATAAAGCAGTATAAACCAAAACCAAAACCAAACCCTTTGCCATTGAGTCAATTCCGACTCATAGCGACCCTAAAGGACAGAATAGACCTGCCCCATAGGGCTTCCTAGGCTGTAATCTTTACAGAGGAGCCCCAGTGGTGCAGTGCTTAAGAAGTCTGCTGCTAACCAAAAGATTGGCAGTTGGAATCCACCAGCTGCTCCTGGGAAACCCTATGGAGCAGTTCTACTCTGTCCTATAGGGTCGCTATGAGTCGGCATTGACTTGAAGGCAATGGGTTTGGTTTGGTTTTGGAATCTTTACAGAAGCAGACTGCTCCATCTTTCTCCCACAGAATGGCTGGTGGGTTCTAACTGCTGACATTTAGGTTAGCAACCTAGCGTTTAACTACTGTGCAACTAGGGTTCCTTATAAAGCAGCATACCAAACCTAAACCAAACCCATTGCCGTCGAGTTGATTCCAACTCATAGTGACCCTGCAGTACAGAGTAAAACTGCCCGATAGGGTTGCCAAGGCTGTAAATCTTTGTGGAAGCAGACTGCCACATCTTTCTTCCACAGAGTGGCTGGTGCATTCAAACTGCCCACCCTTCCATTAGCAGATGACAGCTTAACCACCGCGCCACCAGGGCTTCTTAAAGCAGCATTGTGCAATGTAATTAGAAGATGGGATTTCTAATTCTGAATTGATCCCTTAGGAGATGGGGGATGGTGGGCAAGTGGCAAATTCTCTGATTATGTTTCCTCCTCTAGAAGGTGATGCTAACCTACCCCGTAGACTTGTGGTGCAAGTATTAAGTGAGATAACATAAGGAAACACACTCAGTGCGAAGTGAAGTTTGAATGTGTTGGTTGAATCTGAATAGAAGGCAGAGGGCTTTCTCAGATGAGAGGGTTTGGTAGGCAGAACTCTTAAGGTAGCACCCCATGCCCCCCACCTGGTTACTTGGTGTGCACACCCTGTATCATCCCCTCCCTTTGAGTGTGGTGGGACTATGAATATGATGGATTTTACACCCATAATTATATTATATGACAAAAGGGACTTTTCAGATGAAAGACTGTCCCGAGTTAGTTGGTTTTGAGTTAATTAAAAGGGACATTATCTGGGTGGGTCTGACTCGATCAGATAGGAGCCCTTACAGAGAAAAAGATTTGAGGCATCGGTGAGCTTGTCTTTTGCTGGCCTGAAGGAGTTAATTGCCATGTTGTGGAGAGGGTCATGGCCTTGGGAACTGAGAACGGTCCCCAGATGATCTCCAGCAACTGAGCAGGAACCTCAGTCCGACAATCACAAGGAACTGAATTCTGTCAACAAATAGTGAGCTTAGAAGAGGCCCCTGAGCCTCAGAGGAGATCGCAGCCATGGCTGGCATTTCAATGTCAGCCTGGTGAGAGCCTTAGAAAGAGAACCCAGTTGAGCCATGCCCAGGCTTATGACCTACAGAACTGAGAGATAATAATAATTTGTGTTGTTTTAAGCCTCTGAGTCTGTAGTTATTTGTCATAGCAATATAAAATTAATACAGAGGGTAAAAGTAAGAAGAGGGGATTCAGGAGGGAATATCATTGGGAGAAAGATCTCTAGTTACTCTTGGCAACCAACTTAAAAAGTGCTGGAAGAGCTCTACCAAAACTGGTTCCCAAAGACTTTGCTCTGCTGGACTCTTGCCTGATATTTCCATCTTCTCTCCCTCTCCTTGGCTTCATTGTCTTTACTCCAGCAAGTACTGGAGAGGCAGTCACTCCCAGCAACCTGTGAGGCTTATAGTTTCTGGAAAATTCCTTCCTCCCCACCTAGGCTCTGAATCTACATTATTTACATAACAGCAACTAACAAACCCTGAAAAGAATGAGCCCCCTCCACTTACCCATCCATACTCTTGCCACAATAAACTAGCTCCCAGTTCTTCTGTAGGGAAAAATACACTCACGCCTCCAGTACCCACTGCCTGTACTTCCTTAAACAGATCACACAACACAGTATTTGGCAAACCATACAGAAGGCAGATATGACGGCCACTCACCTTGATTTTGAGGGAGTCGCTATCATAGGGGCTTGGTGTGAAATCTGTATGCACTCTAGCACGGCCACAGAATGGTCCTGTGTAGGGACCTTCATCATCAAGCCGAAAGCTGTCCCGGTTACTTGTACCATCTGAACAACTTGTTATTCCACCTGATGAAAGCAGAGGTCAACAGTTCTTACAGAGAGCTCATAATGCTTTGAACCAACATCTGGACACAGCTGAGCAATGAGAATATTGAAGCATTGGATGCCAGCCTTCTGCAGGGTTTCTAATGCCCGATTCCTGTTTCTTGTCACTATCCATTAGCGACCTCTGTCTTCTGAGCTATTTCTGACCTTTCTCCAGCCAGTCTGGGCCCAACCACTAACCCAAACGCCCTCTCACTTCTGAATCTGTGATCTGATCCAGTACGGCAGTGCATTGAAACTTGCTAGAGGCAGATGGTATAGGTTTAACCCCCATACAAGCCAGACAATTAATTTTGTACATTGAAACAAACCGATAGCAGCGGTTTGATCTTTGTGTGATATCGATCACAGAGGGATCAAGGTATGAGACTACGAGGTTCACTATAACATATCACTATTGTAGCAAAAATGTTTGCCAGACTTTCTACTATGTACCAAATGTCATTCTGAAACAACATCTCTGCACGTAAAAGGTGGCCCTTTTGCTTGTGCAAGTGTGATAAGATGAGGAGAAGTGGGCCTGGAAGTCTGTACCCCTAAGTGGTTCAAAATGGTTCTAAATGGGCTTTTTAAACCGCTCTAAATCCTTGTTCATTGGTTATCTTCCTTTCTGATCTTCAGCCTCAAAAAAAGGGAGAAAGGAGATTCCAGTTTTGCTGCCAGTCTGGAGGCAAGAAAGATTCTCAGTGGAATTAACTTTCAGTTTCTCCATCATTCTCAGTTATCACTTCACTTCCTCCTTCAGTCTGGCCCTTTGGTGCTCTGTTCATTGGGAGAAGAGCCCACATTTCACTACCACGTATTATGTAAATAAGGTAAAGGTTTTTTAGAGGTTCTACCTTGTATGTGAACTGGTGTAAAAGAAAAGTGAGTTGTCTAATCACAGAAATTACATCATATATGATAACAGCTAAATGTGCTCCCATCCGTTCACGTTCTCCCTTCCATGACTAGCTCAGATCCTGGCTTTTCATGGTACATTGTAGCTAATAAAATTCTCCACACATTCCAGACCACAATCTAGAATTTTAAAACTTGCAGCAGGAACGAATACTAATAAAATCTGAATTTCACACACGCACAAATATATTCTTCAAATATTTCTGTATTAGCTATTTTCACAAAATAACCATTGTATAGTCAAGAAGAGAATGGGAATAAAATTCAGAATATTTAAAACATCTGGTTTTTGTGATCCATCTTCAAATAATAGAAGCAGTAGATTTAAACAGAAATGGACAATAAACTTTTAAAAGCCCTGAAAAGATTAGAGGGATATACAACCGTTTACATATAAAAAGTCATAAGGCATCCTGCAGTATCAGTAGTTCTACCCAAATATTGTAGCAGGATATATGACTAAATCTGCAGTGCTTTTGCTCCTTAGAAATATCAATGTTCATTAAAAAATCCTTGTTGGACGTTTGCTAATTCCTTTTTGTGTCTTAATTGGTTACTTTAAATCATTTAGTATTTAGATATTGTTTTTAATTGCTAATGTTGGATCAAGACCCAAAAATTAAATTCTGAATGGATGTGAATGTCCTGCACTTTTCAGAATGCTTCAGAAAAAAAAGAAAGAAAAACTAAATCAAAGAAACGAAAGGGAGAAAAAAGTGAGAGAGGGAAGGCAAAAAGAAAGTGAGAAAAGGAGGGAGAGAGGGAAGGACTGAGTAAAAGGAAGAAGGAGCAAGGAAAAGGAAGAGGGGGATTGACGGAGAGGGGAAGACAGGAAAAGGGCAGAAGAGATAAGGGAGAAGGAGGGACAGAGAAAAAACAGGGTTTCATTTATCTAAACAATTTTAAAAAATTTGACACAACCTAATGCTTCAGTTCTCCCTGATATGTGTTTTTATTTTGGGGGTGCCAATCTAATTACCCAAAGTGACTTTTTTGAGGCATATCTCCGATAACCCTGCTGACTCTGGTATTAAAAGTTTAAAAACAATACGTAATTCTGTCTAATGTATTATGTATCCTTTTCAACAGTAGCAACTCCATATAGATTCAACATGCCCTACGTTTTTACCATTTCTCTTATCAAGCAACTGGAAGCTTGTTGCTAATTTGATAAGCCCTACAGGAGCAAATGAGTTGTTTTTAATTAACTTAACCCAGACCCCACATCTAGGATCTTGTCACTGATTCTGTAGCCTTACTTGATGAACTCTGCCCACTGTAAAGACTATCCATGGAGTCACTGGCTTTGAGGGAGACCTTCTCAGTGTGGGTCCCAATCATGGGGTCACTGTTCCGGTAAGAGAAGACATCCTCTCCATCTTCCTCATCCTTTAATAAAACATTATCAGAGGTTAAGTGCAGAGAACAAATTTCCATGGAGATGTTCACCGTGTGCATTGATTTAACAAACAAAACATATTTTAGCAATAAAATATTTAGGAATACATCAGCATAAAATATGAGAATCATTAATCTTTAGTTTAATTCCTAGCAAAACATTTTACAATATACTTGGGAAAATTCTTTAGATGAAACCAACGTGGAATTCAACTGAAATTATAATCATTCATTGTTGCAAATTAGGATGAATAGCTTATCAAGACTATTTAATCAGAAATGTTAGACTTATTGACATCTGTGCTTTCTCTGTTATTCAACACAAGTTTATAGAACACCTTCTATGTACCAGGCACTTTTCTGGGAGCTACAGATACTCTGGTGGCACAGTGGTTAAGAGCTCAGCTGCTAACCAAAAGGTTGATAGTTCTAGTCTACCAGCCACTCCTTGGAAACCCTATGGGGCAGTTCTACTCTGTCTTATAGGGTTGCTATGAGTCTATATCGACTGGATAGCAATGGGTTAGGTGTTTTGGTTTTACAGATACTGTAGTAAACAAGATGATAAGCTCCCTGTTCTATTGAGGTACAATCTAAAATGTTAGGCTATATATGTGTGTGTGTATTCATATTTTTATGTATATGCTTTGAAAGAAATAAAATTTGGTGATGTAAGACAAATTGCCTACTAGGGTTAGGGTTGGGGCAAGTTGGTTGATTTAGATGGGGTAGCCTCCAAAGATCTCTTAAATAAGGTAATATTTGTTCTAACTTCTTTATGTGAATAATAAAAAATGTAATTTATTTAAAGATTTGATGACAGAGTCATCCAAGCAAAAGGAACAGCAAGGGAAAAGGAATTACATTTAGAATTAGCTTGGGTTGTGCAAGGAAAAGCTACAATACCAACATAACTGGAACTCAGTGTGGGAGAAAAGAGTGTTAGGATATGAGTTCAGAAAATGTGGATTGGAGCCAAATCATGAAGAGTGTTATAGACCATATGTGGTGGCCATGAACATGTGCCACAAAGATCTTTTGCTGCAGGGACTCTACTTGACTGACAACCACAGCTAGTGCTCCTGTAGATCCACCACTGAGTTTGCCCCGAGGCCACACTCCCAGGCAATGACTGACACAGTCGGGATACATTCAAGTCATTTTGGAAGGATGTGAGACTCCAGTAAATGAAAACTTTGGCTCAAGGACCTCCCATCACCCTGGTCAAAGTTTTCTCAGAAAGGTGCTGCAGTCTGAGACCCTCTTTTCTCCGTCTTCCTTCCTCTCCCGTCTCTTTTCACAGATGTCAGCCCTGTATTACAGTCTGAAAGCTTTCCCTGTCCATGTCTCTTCCTCCCCTTTATTTTTCACAGGCATTGCCCCCAATAAATCTTTATCTTGGAGTCTGCTTCTCAGGAGACCAAAACGAACACACCATAGTAATGGAGTGCATTGTGAAAGGATTGTGGAGTTTTAAACAGGGCAGTGATGTCTTCTGATTTTCACTTTTCCAGGTCTTTCTAACTTCTGTGTGGAGAACGAATTTTATGAGGGTAAGAGTGGAAGACGGGAAACCAATTAGGTTATTATGGTAATCCAGGCAAGAAAGGTTGGTGACTGTGTGTAAAGCCAAAGCAGTTTAAATGGAGAAGTTAAGAGGCTTTAGATAAACTTTGGAGTTAGAACCAACAGGTTATCCTGACATGAATTGGTGGGAAAAGTAAGAGAACAAAATAATTTAGAATGATTTTGGGGTTTTTTGTTTGTTTGCTTGTTTCAACATATAGAATTATGATGGTCTTGTCTATTGTACGATAAACATATAAATATATACAGTTTTTTTTTTTTTGGCAAAAACGTAGATAATCAAGGTTTCAGTTTGGTATATACAGGTAGTCCCCGACTTACAGCAGGGTTTCATTCTGACGACACCGTCATAAGTTAGTTCTGACATAAATTGAATACTTCATTTTTTTTCTTTCATTATTACTGCCTTTTATTATCAGTATCTTTATAAATCCAGTCTTTATTTGTCTTTAGGGGTTGGAAACATTACATATAAACTTACAGATCTATTTTAACATTGAATGTAGTACATATTACTAAGGGTAAGATGTACAAAAAAAAATGACAGTTGTAAATGCAGTTCGTGGTAACTCGAATATGTCATAAATCGAGTACTACCTGTATTAGGTTTCAGATATCTATTAGACTTTTAAATGATGATATCAAATAAGATTTTGATTGTAAGATTCTAAAGATAAGCAAAGATCTCATAGAGAGAGACATAATTGTGAAAAATATCAGCTTATGGATAGTATTTAAAGTCATAAGACTGGATGAGATCACTTAGGAGGAGACGGTAGATTGAGTAGATGGTCCAAGAACAAATCTCAGAAAGCCTCAATATTTAGAGGGAGAGGAAAGAAAGCAGAGCGAAGAAAGGAAGCTTTGAGGAAGGTGGAAAGCCAGAAGAGTGCCCTGGCAAGTAAACCAAGAAAGATAATGTTTAACATGTAGGGAAATCATCACCTGTGTGTCAAATGCAGCTAAAAAGTAAAGTAAAAATAAATAAAAGTGATCGTTGGATTTGGCAACACAGAGGTCACTACTGACTGTGACAACTGTTTCAATGGAGTCCTGGGAACAGAAGCCCTATTGAAGTTGGTTAAAAAGAGAATAAGCATAAGACATATAGATCAATGGAATAAAATTGAGAGTTCAGAAATAGACTCATATATTTATGATTCATATATTTATGACAATAAGGTTATGGTCAATTGATTTTCTACCAGGATTCCAAGACAATACAACGAGGAAAGAATAATCTTTTCAACAAATGGTGTTGAAACAACTGGATTTCCACATGCAGAAGAATGAAGTTGGACCCAACACACACTACATAAAAAATTAACTTGAATGGATCATACACCAAAATTTAAGCTAAAACTATAAAACTCTTAGAAGAAAACATAGGAATAAATCTGTATAACCTTAGGCTAAGCATTGGTTTTCTTAGATAAGACACCAAAAGCATGAGCAACAACAACAAAAATAGATAAATTGGACTACATCAAAATTTGAAATTTTGTGCTACAAATGATACCATCAGGAAAGCGAAAAGACAACCCACAGAAATGGAGAAAATACTTGCAAATGATATATATGATAAGGAATATTATTTAAAAAATCTTAAAACTCAATAGTAAAAAGTCAAATAACCAATTAAACATGGGGAAATGATGTGAATAGGTATCACTCAAAAAAGATATACAAATGGCCAATAAGCCCATGAAAATATTCTCCACATCATTAGTCATCAGGGAAATGCAAATAAAAACCACAATGAGATTCCACTTCAGACCCACTAAGATGACTAGAGTCAAAATGACAGACAACAAAAAGTGTGGGCAAAGATGTGGAGAAATTGGAACCCTCATACATTGCTGGTATGAACGAGAAGTGATGCATTTTCTTAGGAAAAGTGTGTTAGTTTCTCAAAATATTAAACATAGAGTTTACCATGTACCCAAGATCAATAAAAACCCAAGAAACATATATCCACACAAAAACTTGTACACAAATGTTCACAAGCAGTGTTATTCATAACAGCCAAAAACTGGAACAACCTAAAAGTTCATAACTGATGAATGCTCAAATAAAATGCAATATATCCATTCAATGAAACATTATTTGGCAATAAAAAGGAAAGAAATACTAATACATGCAATAACATGTGTGGCATGTTATTCTTCACATACTAACTGCGTGATTATTTTGAGCCTCAGTTTCTTCCATTAAAATGGAAGTTATAATATATTCTCCTACCCTACTGATTGGCACAATGGATAAGGAACGAAATAAATGTTTAAGTACCTCATAAAACATTAAGTGCTTCTATGCCTAGAAGAAGAACCTATTGAATATTTTAAGAAATTTCTAATAGAAAAATATAAGTGATTAACAGAAGACACTTACCTTGTCCTCAGAAAGGGCTTTTATGTATTTTTTCCCCATTTTTTTCTTCATGGTCCAGGAAATACCTCTCATTTTTTTACCCAAACCTCCTTCATTATTTGAGGTTTTATTTTGTTCTCCATTTTCACGTATTGGTTCACCATCATACACCTAGTTAGAATTGTTTAGAAAAAACAAAATAATAAGCAATAAAAAGAATTCATCTGAAAACATTATTAGAGAAAAGATTCCAAATTTGTGGACTTCCTGTACCTTACGCCAAATGATCAGGATGCAAAATATATTTTCAAAGTTGTCCAGGCCTAGTTACTTGTGTTGCAAACTCAAACCTAAATCTCACATCTGAAGTTTTTTTTAGAGAATTTTGACTATTTTTAAATCTGTGAAGAAGAACCAGAGCTAAAATACTCTCTCCACGTCACCCCTAGCTACTTCTCAGGCCTCCCTTGCTCACTCTAGCAGTGGTTTTCAAAATGCAGTCCCCAAACCAATAGTGTGAGCATCACCTGGGGACAAAAAACAACAACAACAAAAAACAAACAAACAAACCTGTTGCCATCAAGTCGATTCCTACTCATAGGGACCCTGTAGGACAGAGTAGAACTGCCCCCTACAGTTTCTAAGGCTGTAATCTTTATGGAAGCACACTGCTACATCTTTCTTCCGAGGAGCAGCTGGTGGGTTTGAACTGCTGAACTTTTGGTTAGCAGCCAAGTGTTTAAAGACTGCACCAGCAGGGCTCCTTCCACCTAGGGTCAATTTGTTTTAACACAATCTCCAAGTGATCCTGACATTCACCCTAAAAGTTTGAACAACACTATACTGGAGTATTCCCACATTAGTCCTCTTGCTGTTTCTCAATCATGTTCCCACTAAGATTTGTACTAGCTTTTGCCGTTGGCTTCCCCTATTGTTGTTGGGCGCCATCAAGTCCATTCCGACTCATAGTGACCACATGAGACAGAGTAGAATTGCCCGTAAGGTTTTCTTGGCTGTAATCTTTACAGAAGCAGATCTCCAGGTCTTTCTCCCACAGAGCTGTTGAGTGGGTTCAAACCACCAACCTTTCAGTTAGCAGCCTAGCGCTTAACCATTGCCTCACCAAGGCTGGCTTCCCCTAGATATCTGTAAATACTTTCCTTCATTCATCTTGGTCTCTACTCACGTATCATGTAATGGAGAGATATTTTCTGATTGATCAGCCAATTTTAAATAGCCCAAACTTGCCCATACAGTATGCATATCTTGGTTTAGTCTTCTTCTAGGCACTTAACATTACTCAATAATGTTTTGTTTGTTTGATTATTGTCTACATCTCCTACTATGATCTGTGCCCCATGATACTAGGGGCTTTGTCTATTCCGCTGATTCAGACTTTCTAGAATAATTCTGGAGTCCCTGGATCACACAAACAGTTACAGCGCTCGACTACTAGTCAAAAGGTTGGTGTTTCAAACCCACCCAGAGACACCTTGGAAGATAGGTCTGGCATCTGCTTCTGAGGGTCACAGCATTGAAACCCTATGGAGCAGTTCAGCTCTGCCCACATGGGGTCACCATGAGTCAGGATTGACTCAATGGCAACAATAGAATACTTCCATGCATGTAAGTGGCCTGCAATATTTTTTGAATGAATGAAACATCTCATGCAGATTTTTGCAGTGAAAAAAAGAATTTATTTTTTTAGGACATGTTTGGGATTACACAATCTTGATATCTCTGATTTTCAAAGAAAGAACCCTTGGAACTCATGAAGTCTAGCACTGCCCATCATTCCTGATAGGTGGGCAGCCTATTTTTGTCATTGTTGTTGGTGTTCTTCTCAGAATATAAAAAAATGATGCGAAACTTCTCTTTAGTAAAATTGAATATTTTAATAGGAAGGTTTAAACATGTAGTTAACATCATTATTAATCAATATTTTGTTTTGTTTCATATCTTACCCCTAATTACCTATGATAAATATGAATGGACAGCCAATTTAAGCCCTCATTGCACTTCATTAATTTCTATATTCAAGGTTATAAAGGCAAAGAGTCTTTGCTTAATTCAAAATCCCTGAATAAAATATAACTTGGAATTACTTAAAAATTTTAATCTTTTCCTTCTCTCTTCTTTCTACTTAAACTTTATCTGTCTTCATTGTACAATTATTTTATTAACTAAAATAAATAAGAAAGTATGTTATTTTTGTACTACCTGTGTGAACTATTACCTCAGCTTCAAAGAAAGCATACCACAGATATTTTTAATGTCAGAATTTTCTATCATTCTTTGCAGAGGCTTCAGAGAAAATATCCCAAAATATTTTTAATTTTAACAGTTTTCTATCATTGCCACTTAATGATGTCCTGTTTCATAGCCTAAATCACACTTTCATTTAGATGTTTACTTATGTTTATTTTTCTTCACGTCTTTGTCTCTCTCTAATTCCAGGCTTCATGAAGGATTTTTATTTATCAATTCCACAGTACTTCCTGAGTGCTTAATGGAAATGCTGTCATAGAATAGGTTGTAAATAAATATTTGTTGAATGTGTGAATTCTGGATTGCTGAAAAATGTGCAAACTATCAGGATTACCAGATTTGTTCCCAAATTACTAGGCTATTATTATTAATCAACGGGCCTCAAAGAGCCTGACTACTTTTATAGGCTCCTCTAGAATCATAAACTAAATAATACATTGTATTGTATACAACTATATA